GTCCGGCCCCCTCCCCTCCTGCTGCCCGGTGGCCCTCTGCTGAAGCGGGTGCCTAATTAGTAAGTTCTTCGGTGGTGTTCAAACTCCTGGCTCGGCAAAATGTAAATGAAACGTTTTTTCTGGGTGTCAGTATGAAAAATGGCAGTCACTGGAACGTCACAGAGGACATCTGCTCTGATTCCTGAGTGTGAGCGCCTGTTTATGGCTGATGCTGCAGAACTTAAGGGAAAACTTTCCTGGGCACCTGGGTGACCCATGGGTGGGATGCGGGGGCCCAGGACGGCAGGTCCCAGCCCGAGGACCACACAGCCGCCTTCTGGGTCTGGCATCACAACAGCGCTCAGGGCCCCTGGACAGTGAGTGTTGTCACACGGGCAGAGGGGGCTCTGTCCTGAGTGCCCACCCTGGGGATGTGCTGCAGGTGGGCTCGTGTCTGTCAGGCAAGCCGCCGTGAGTCGCACTCTGAGTGTGATGCTGGTCCCCTCACTGCTGGATGCTAGCTAGGCTCCATCCTCTCGGCAGGGGCCAGCTGCGGTGGGCAGCCCCGTCGCCACAGTCACCACAGTAGCTGCCGCGTCCACCACCTGGCGGCACCCAGGGTGGGTGGGGAGGCCTCTTGGCCCTGAAGCCCCTGGCGTGTGGCCGTAGCTGGTCCCCGCGCTCTGGTTGGAGACCCGCTGGTTTGGCACCACCTCCTCCAGGAAGGCCCTCTGGATTGGGCCGGCCTCCTGTCAGTTGTTCCGCTTCCCCCAGGTCCAGGGGCTGACCTGGCCCCCGTCAGTCACAGGTTCAGGGCTGGCACTTCATCAGAGGTGGCGCTTTCACACAGTGGAAACTGTCCTCCCACCCACCCTCTGCCTGCCCCAGGGGAATCGGGGTCAGTGCCCGGAGTTGGGGCGTCCTGGGCGCATCTGTCCCGGCACAGCCAGCTGTGACTTACCCCGGGGAGCGGGCTGTGCAGGGGATGGGTGCGTGGTCCGGCGGCTGCAGCCCCTCAGCGCCCACCCGCCCGCGCGTCCTCAGGTGAGTACATCAAAACCTGGCGGCCCCGGTACTTCCTCTTGAAGAACGACGGCACCTTCATCGGCTACAAGGAGCGGCCGCAGGACGTGGAGCAGCGCGAGTCGCCCCTGAACAACTTCTCTGTGGCGCGTAAGTGTGCCAGCGGCCGCCCTGGGTCGGGATGAGGGCACTGGGCTGGTGGGCAGGGCGGAAAGAGCCCTCTGGGCCCAGCGGCCCCACGTGGGGCCCCCCCGGCCGCTGTGTCTGGGGCCAGCAGCTCTCCGGGGACCAGGCTGGGCCTGCGGCCCCGCGTCACCTCAGGGACCAGTTAGTGGTCGGCTCCGGCTGCCAGGGATCTCCAAGCGGAGCCCGAGGTGGTTCCGGGAGGACTTCTGGAGGCCGGAGGGCCTGGCCTGGGGCAGCCGGCCGAACTGGGCCCCTCCTCCAGTGGGGGCCAGACGAGCCCACCGGGGCCTCCTTCCCCAAAGCCCCCGGCAGAGGCAGGAAGAGAGTGTGGGGGTGGGGGGCAGCCAGCTTCCCGGGGCCTCCATCGCCCCAGCACGAGTGCCCACCACAGGTTTTCAGAGACCCCAGTCCACCGTGGCAGTGCGTTTGTTCCCACCCTCAGCTGGGGTGCCAGGTGGGTGGGTGCAGCACTGCTGGCCTGGGGCGTCTCAGGACGCTGAACAAACTTGCACTTTTTCTAAACCAAGTGCTACCGTGGCCTCGTTACGTACCTGCAGGGGGACGGCAGGTGTGACCCTACCCACGGTGGGGGGCACCCAGGCATGGGGACGGGTGGGTGGGAGGGATGCTGGGCCGGGCGGGCCTTCCGGCCTGGTCCCTGTTCCTGGTGCTCTGCCCGGGCTGGCCCGGGACACGGGCCTGATGGGTGAGTTAGTGATGGGCTTGTCGACCAGCACACCCCGGGGTCCACCTGGGCTGCTGTCTGGGGTGCAGAGCACAGTCCTGGCTCCACCCCAGGCTCCTTCATTCACCCCCCACCCTCCGGCTGGCTCTGCCCTCCCTGCCACGTGCCTGGGAGCTCGGGGTCCTCCGGCTGCACACACCCCCCCCCCCCCCCCCCCCCAGCACAGCCCCGACACTGCTGATGAGGCAGGGAATATGGCGTCAGGCACAGCTGCAGGGACTCTTGCTGCCTGGAGCGGTGTTTATATTGACCTCAACCCAGGCACACCTGGGGAGGGGTGGCCAGCAGAGTCAGGATACCCAGGTCAGCCAATCCTCGTCCCTAAGGGGCTCACAGCTGCAGAAAAT